GCTGTGTGTCGAACTGGTTCAAGACGCCCCCCGGCCTCTGCTAGCTCTTGTTGGGTGATGACCAGAGCAACCCAGATAGCGGGACCAGGGCGATCCGCGTGCCCGGGCAGGTTGTGCTTGCATAAGTAGCTGAGGCTACAGTTGTGCTTAAACGAGTGGCTGATACTATAACTGGGCGATTACCGCTAGTGTGCTAGGAATTGCAAAATTGCTAGAAAATTGCAAAATTGATAAGTGATCAGGAGTTTTGAAGCGCGCAGACGGTCAGTACTCTAATAGGGAGTCTCTGGGTGTTTGGACACACCCCAAATCCAACGGGCACCAGTGCCACGTTTAGGGACACGAGAGGGTATGGGGAATACTAAGTCGACAGTACCCCCATCTTCCTCTTTGGGAAGATTGTTACAGGCTTGGGATAAGGGGATTTTGCCCATCCAGCCAGGAATGAGGAAAAGACGTGCACGTGAACTATGTATGGAATGGACTCAATATCTAGACACAAGTGGTAATGCAATTTGGCCTCCCATGAGTACATTCCACTGTGAGAAACTGAGGCTTCTTGAACTCCAATTAAAACGAAATTGTCCCGAGCAATTGTCTTATTGGCACTGTTGGAATGAACTAGCCGACTTATCCCCTATTGCCAGCGCTCCAGACTCTACTTGTTTGGAACAAGGGCAAGAAGGCACTTTGCCTTCCGGCAAAATAATGGCACCTCTGTTACTAAATCCAGTATCTCTACCTCCCACACCTGCTACAGATGGGCAACCGGCTACAGCTGGGAGGGTAGCATTTCTAAGATATCATACTCCTTTTTCACCAACGGACTTGGCAGTATGGCGCTCTGACACTCCTTCCTTCCGAAAAGATCCATTGGCTGTCATAAGACGCTTAGAGGCAGTCATTCGAAGTCACAACCCTTCATGGGCAGATATGATGGAGCTCCTTAATATGTTATTAACCAGGGATGAGGTCTTGAAATTATTTGAAAAATGTGAAGAAATTGGCCGTCGCCCTGTTCTACTGGTCCCCGGGGAAGCGGCACCCCCCCCCCAGGTCCCTTGGCCAATCCATGAGCCTACATGGGACTATAACAATGTTGATCAATGCAGCCAAAAATGGCCAATTTATTTATACCTGGATATGTCCCCTATGAGCATGACCCATGCATGGGAGACCTTCAGGAGGGATGAATATAATGGCTTCCTCTTAATTCAACATTCCTATGACTACAGTATGGTACATATTAGCATAGGTTTAGCCCTTCATCTCCAGTGTAAGCTTTGCAATACTAACACTTTACTTTCCCCCTCAGTGAATGTCACTGAGCAGTTGCACATAGTGCTCAGTGCTCAGAGTACTGTTCCAAGCCTTATTACCTGAGAGAAATAAGGCCTTATTACCTGAGAGAAAACCTTTTATATACAGTGGTACCTCAGGATACGAACTTAATCCGTTCCGTGACTCTGGGCGTATCCTAAGTTGGTCGTAACCCGACGCAAATTTCCCCATCGGTTAATCTGTTCTGCCCTCCGAATTTGGTCGCACCCCGAAGCAAATTTTCCCATAAGGTTCAATGTAATTAATCCGTTCTGGCGTCCGCAGACCACGCGTCAGGGGTGGGAAAATGGCCGGGCGCGGTGCGGCAGGAAAACGGCCACGGACCACATGTCAGGGGCAGGAAAATGGCCGCGGACCACGTGTCAGGGCAGAAAAATGGTCGTACCCCGAGGCGGAGATCGCACATCGAGGTAAATTTTTGCGGCCAGAGCTGGTCGTAACCCGAAAAGTTCGTTAGTAGAGGTGTTCATATCCCGAGGTACCACTGTATCTAACAAGTATTGCTCAGTGTTGCTCATTAGCTATTGTGAGATTTCTCCAGTTAAAAGGAGCCCACTTATCCCTGCAGCTTGCAGGATTTTTGTAGCCGGGGTTATTTTCCAGTTCTTTTACGATCTCCAAGTCCTTGACATCCCTGAATCCATTCAGTCTAAGTTCAGTCCCAAGATGCATTAAAAATGTACACTTCGATTGGATATGAGCTTGAAAATGCTAGAATGTCAGATCTGTGATGTTCAAATCCCAATGAAGAAAAATCTCTTGAAACCCGAGTCAAGTTCAAAAAGAAATTCATTTATTGCATCTTCAAAGCATTGCTGAAACTAAAAGAGCTTGATATTATCTTTTTAACCTTGGCTGAAATTAACTTTTTTTCCAAGGGAGTCTGGCCCCACTTAGAGACCAGTCAATCTGCTTTAAAAAAGGCAATTGGAAAACTTTACTCCTTAGGATTCCTGATAAAGAACCTTTGCCCATTAGACTCTGAACATGCCAGAAGTATCCTTAATTAGAAAATCTGGGACGCTGATTTTCAAATCAAAGTTTAATTCCCAGCCTCACAGCATATGGGGACTTTTCAAAGGGGTATATGTCAGCCTCTTACCTTCACCTATCACAGTCCTGAAATTTCACCAGGCCTTCACAATGGCCAGGCTGGAGGCATTGCCTTCTGCTATCCTCTTGAGGTGCTATAAAAATAGTTCCCTGCATCAGATATATGTCCTTGTGGCAATGGCTCAGTAGAGCCCTTGAGCCATAGAATCTTTGTTGCTCCCACTTCAAGGAATCCAAGATGACTTTCATCTATCCATCCTTTTCTGAAAGAGAGCATAACTTCTAATTGTTCCTTCTCCTGCCTGACCACTGTCTGGAGAGATCTTTCCAGGTTGCCCAATTCTGTTTCTTTTATGAGTCTCCTGCAGTCTGAAAATTTGTACTAATTGTCATGAGCCATGATTCAGTCTGACTCTGACTCTGATCACATTGCTTCGACTTAACCTGTAGAATGTCAGCCTCAGGAATCATCTGAGGCTGATCAGCCACAGGCATCTCCTGATCACCTGGAACAGACCTCTAAGCCCCAGATCCAGACATTCACAGAGATGAGCAGAGCAACATCAATCAATGAGACTCCTCACAAGACAAAGGGTGAGGCCTAAATAATTGCAGCCAATTGCCAGCAGAGAGATTTATGTAGCTTGCTTTGTCTTCTCTCTCTGTTGGAAGCAACCATTTGGACATCTAGCTCTTGTCTTCCTATGTATCCTCTTCTTGAATTCCTGACTTCTGGATTGCCTGACTATCCGATTTTGCTTTGTGACTTTTGGCAACATAACTAAGACTACTCTTTTGCTACTTGGACTGCAAATGGTACTTTTTAGGCAAATGTGCTTTGCTACGTTTTTGATTTACAACCTGTCTGCTGTTATTTGCTTCTGCTCCTTGCCAACTGTTATCTTTCTGCTACCTTGAAACAGAACACTATTGTCTTTTCTTTTTAGCCGTATTTTTCAGTTTTACCTGTTTTATTTGTATCTGAAGGGAATGGATACGGTGTAGGGGTTGAGGTGCTGGACTAGGAGCAAGGAAGTCCAGGTTTGCAGCAAATGCAGTACAAAATAAGCAGACACTGGGATTGAGTGGGACTAACCACAACCAGTTTTACTTGGATGCTTCTGCTGCCCATAATAAAGGGTTGGTTTGATTTGAGGTCCAGAGAAAAAATGTTCAACTCAATCCACACACTGGGCCAAGTTTTGTCCACTGAAATAAGCAGCCCAGGAAACAGGAGTCCATGCGTGGGGGATACCATGTCTGAGCGGCAAGATCATAATGTGCACTAGAAGGCAGGAAAGCAATCAAGTTTTATTTATTTGATTTCTATATTCTGTTTATTTGAATTTTTTTCAGCATGTCTTTGCTGTCATGCAGCAGTCACTGGGGTATGGTAGCTTTAATCTGCCAGGAAACCCAACCTAGCAGGGGTGGGTGGGAGGCAAACCTTCTGGTCATTATGCTATAATTGCTGAGGTATGCCTGCCCTGGAGGACAATTCTCTATCAACTGATTATTCGGACTAGTACTGAACCTTATTTTGGAGACAGGGGCCTCTGCGATTGGTCCTCATTGCCCCTCCTGAAAAGCTTTTTGTTCATGGGCTGCAGGACCGCACCTGTTCAGCCTTCCTTTCTCTGGGGAAGGAAGCCGACGAATCCTCTACTCTTCCTCGAAGGATATCGCTGGTCAGTTCCCCAGAGCAGCTGCCTCCGGCGGTGCAGACGGACCATCTCCGCAACCGTCTCGGAGCGGCGCAGGAAGAAGGCGGGGCCGATTCAAAGGCAGCCGTCGTGAGCACGCACCCAGGGACCTCGGTATGGCGGCGACGGGCGTCCCCGGTCGCCTGCTGCTGCTGCGGGGGAGACGGCGGGGAGGCTTCTTCCTCTTGCCGGCAGTGAGAAACGCCTCTAACAGCTGCAGCCGGAGCAGCTCCCCCAGCACCGGCGGCAGGTAGGAAAGGCGAGCGGGTCGGGTGGGGTTCAGGGAGCCTTACGCCGCCCCCCGATCTAGGCTGCAAATGAGCAATGCTTAGAGGCGCCTCTTGAGCGGGAGGGAAAGCAATGAGGAATGAAGGAACCGCAGGAGGGACTGGCGAGCTAACTCAGCCGCAGGCTTCTCTCCAGTCGGGAAGGTGTGATGGGAGGCTCAGCCCGGTGGGGGAACCTTCCGCCTGAGCGCCCCCGGAACGGAAACGCCGGGGTAGAAGCGCGGGGCGGATTTCGGCCCCTTTGACGCCCCGGGGCCCGCGCGCGGGTCTTCTGTGCGGAGCGCGCGCATCGTTGGAAAAGGCCCGAGAGAGAGAGACTTTTTGCATCAACCTCAAGGAGAGTCGTGGAGCGGAGCGTAAGCAGTGGGGACATTTCCGCCAGAGGTGTGGCTTTGTATTTTAAGGGCCATTTATTTGCTCGCTAGGCAGCTCGTTCAGCCACGCGAATCCCTAATCTATAGGTTTTGGGGCTAAACTGGAGCAGAAGAGGTGACGAAACGTAGCAGCGGGGACTTTTTAGTGGCGGCCCCTTGGCACCGCATTTTCCTTCTTCTGCCACCCGCGTAGGTACCACAGCTTGTCATCAGGAAGCTGTTTCACTAGTGGATAGTTAGATGTCCAGTTTCTTGTATGTTTGTGGTTTGTAACCAAACTCCTTAATTTATAAGTTGTATCTCTGTTTCATTGTTTGAAATTCATTGTGATATTGATATTATTTGGGGAATTTTCCTTTTCTGAGGAAGGGTGGATTATACATTAGCTAAACGACAATGGATCCAAATTATTTGATTTGGCTATGACTGCAGTTTTATAACTGAGCATCCCCAATAGATAGCACTCCTTATGGACATCACATGGTGCGTTAGAAATTTTTTAAAAGATCTATATTTGTCATGCTTCCCAGGTAGACCTGACAGGAAACATGACTAGTTGAGCTAATTCTACTTTATTGTAAAGCTACATTAACAGAATCTTGCAAGTCTGAAAGT